CAGAATAGACACAGAGATGTACATGGGGGAAGAAAGATGCTACGTGAGGATCCATCTACAAACAAAGGGACTCCAAGGATTGCTAGCAGACACCAGAAACTAGGAGAGCTTCACAGAGGGAATCAGAACCGCCAAGACCTTGATTTGGACCTTTAACCTCCAGAACTGTGAGAAAATAAATTCATATTCTTTAAAGGCATCCATTTGTGGTATTTCTGTTATGGCAGCCCTAGGTAACTAACAGCAAAAAAGGCCATGGTTCATGTATTAAGTCTGAATCTTGACATTCCCTAATTTTGACTTCCAGGCCAACATTGTTTGATATCAAGGCATAGATGGAGCTGTGTTACCAATTAATGGATAAAGAATGTACAGCTACAAAGTACCCTCACATATGAGTGAGCCACAAAAGTCCTGGAACTCCAAATATATTTAAATTAGATCAAATATTTGTGATTTGATTCACTTTCTGGTTGTGTAGTTATAGCAAGAAGATTCTTCAAAGAATGGGTTCATGAAAGCCCATGCATAGCTATAGAGCTGCACAACCTTGGGAAAGTGACATAACTTCTGAGCACCCTCACATGTTAATTTAAACCTATAACACCTGTTGCTTCCTTTCTAGCGCTCTTATGAGTTCATCTCATGTGTTTGTAAGCTCTTTGTAAATGGTAAAACTCTATACAATTGCAAGCAATTATTGTTATGCTCTTGAACCTCCTGTGGGTACTTGCTAGCTGATACTTTCCAACACTAATCCTTCTGTGTAAATTAACCCTTGAAATATCTATTGTTACCATCTACAAAAGTATAATTTTAGGGAGCAAAGTCACTTCTACACATGCTGTTGTGCTGATCATTACTCATGATTAGGCTGAATTCTGCTGCTTAAGATGTGACTCCAATGAGGCCTAGATGGCCCCTCATTCATGTTCCTTTCCCAAATATATTCCTGACAAACTTTATAGTAAAGAAAATTCCAAAATTGGAAATTCACTTTAGTGTCACTTATAATGGAATACTCTGCACACATTGGGTCACCAGGAGTTAGAATGGACTCAACAGCAACTAACAACAACAAATAATGGAATTACACTTTAATTTCTACCAGTCATATATACCTAGTTATAACTGAGTTCATTTAATTGTCTTAGAGGAAGGAAATGGTGCATGAGCTGATAACAGGGGTTAAGAACAAAGTCTCAGAGAAGTAAGTGTAGAAAGAGAACACAGTGGGTATGCTGATATCAGAACTTTTCCTCTGGGCAGTGTCTAATGATTAATGTTGCTTTCATTCTCTAGGTGCCCAAAATCACACAAAATTTTCTAGAATTAAATCTCTACATAAGAGCCAAAATACTTGAGTTGAGAAAAGAGAAGCAAAATGGTTCTTACCCAGCAGGTCTTGTGTCCTCAATGGCTCTGTCCACTGGGATCAAATCGCTAAGGTAGACATTGAAGTTTCCTTCTTTCCATCTTCTCTTTGCCTCTTTCTCCTTTCCATGAGGAACAACTACTGGGCGTCCAAACTGGCCTGGAGCTTTGGGGTCCCTTGGAGAAAGTGTCACATCGATTCTTAACACGTGGTGCATTCCATGGTCTTCTGATAAATGGGCTTTTATTTGACTTTGGTTCTGCTCTGCAGGCTTGGCCTTGCCCGTTAAATTGGTTTTTGCCAGCTCTAGGCCCTCAGCTAAGGATTGGTTGGTTTGAGACATTGGTGCTCTCTGTAGAGCAAGTGAGGAGAAAGAAGCCTCACTTCTATTCCTGGAAATATGTTTCTCTTGGCTTTCACTCATTGCTTTAGGAAACAGAGTTTTGGTTTTAGGATTGGTGACCTCTTTGGTGTCTGTCTTTAGCTCCTCTTCCTTGGTTATAATCACAACATGGCTTTCAGAGAAATTGAGTTTCTTCCCAAGAGCCAGTTTATCTCCATTATCCTTTGGGAGGCCTTCCACCTGTGTCTCATTAATAGATTGCTTCTTTAATCGATTGGAGTTGACAGTGAACTTGGAGAAGGGAAGACTCTTATTGACTTTGTGTTTATTTGCATTCGGTTCTTTGCTGTGAATCACAGTTTTATTTAAGACTAAATTTTCCCCAGATTTTGTCACTGGGGGGCTGGCAGGGAATGTCCTCTCATTTGCCACTGTCTGTGATTGCTGCTTTGGTCTGTCTTTATTAAAATTGACAGTCACATTCATGTCCCTTTCAACTGCTTGTTTTGATGTGTCACCGCTGAGAGTGTGACTTTTCAGGACCTCCTGGTTTGCACCGACAGGTCCTGTGTGTACAGATATTTTGACCAATGAAGTTCCTCTTTCTGCTCTGAATGGGATTTTCTGAGTCCCCTTAGCTGTTGTTTGCTTTGGTCTCACATGGTGAGAAGAGGTTTTGTGTTTGATATCTGTCCCCTCTGTCTTCTGCTTGGTAGGAGTTATTGGGAGGGTCTGCAGATGTGCAGGATGCCACAAAGGCACAGCCTTGCCCCTTTCCAGGGCATTCTGCTCTTTTCTTTCTTCCTGGGTTTGGTCCAAATCATCCTCAACTTTGTGCACACTCTCCTTAGTCTTTCTAAAGTTCTCTTTGCCCAACTTCCCCTTCCTATTCCCCCTCAGGGGGAGTTTTGTCTCTTTTACGCTGCTGTAAAAGATTTTCATTTGGTCTGGCTGAACTCTGAATCCTATCCGCTCCCTCCTGACGTCTTCCTTGAGGACACGAGTGTTGATCTCGCTGAATGAGAGGCGGAGAGCTGCCATATCAAAGAGCAGCCAGATGACAGAAGCTACAAATATAAATGCCAGGACTCGCCCACTTCCTCGGAAAAACTTTCGGATCTTGTTCATGGTACAAAAGCTTCCCTTGCAGCCTGCCGTCCCTTAGAGCCTGCTTACCTTGAGTGGAGAGGGAGCTGAAGAAGTAGTAGCAGCAGCAGCAGCAGCAGCAGCAGCAGCAGCAGCAGCAGCAGCAGCAGCAGCAGCAGCAGCAGCAGCAGCAGCAGCAGCGTTGCCAGAAAGCTCCCCCCTCCCCTGAACACAGCAGGAAACAGCAGTCCAAGGGGAAAGCTCAGCTCCTACCGCTTGTCAGTCTCTGCCTGCGTGGCATTTCACAGCACAGCATCTGTGCCTGCTCCGTTGGTCCCTGGGTAAACACTGGTAAACATGGGCCTTAGGTCACTCTGGGAGCAGCCAATTCCAGCCACAAGATAGTTCAACATATCACTCCTCTTGTCTCATTCAGCCCATGTCCACCTTCCTTCAAGTCCAAGAAAAGGTGGGGGGCGGCCAGGGCTGCTGCTTCTCTCCTCCCAGTTCTCAGTCTGCACGCTGTAACTCAACACCACTTCTCATAAGGAAAACATTTCAAGCCATTACCCAGAAAACTTCATTCAGCTCTCACCTTCCGTGTTATGTGAGAGCGTGTGTGTTTTAAGAGCAATTAAACAGAAAGAACTCTAGCTATCTGACTAGGAGGGCAGGTGTTCCTGGTTTGTAACCCCACCTAACCCACTCCTACTCATTAACCCTATTTTACCCAGATGCTCCGAACGACCTGCTTGAGCAATTAATCGCTGAACCTAATGTTTCAGCTTTATGAGGTAACAGCTTAAAGAAGGGGCCCAACATACCCTCCATACCAGTGGTGGACGTTTCCTCATTCAGAAGCCTTTCTTGAGGGGTGGGATGTTTCTAAGTCAATTTTTTTTTTTTTAACTAGCCCATCTACTTTTATTATTAGATTCAACAGATACAAACTTAATTTGTCAAATTGCTATAAAATTTTAAGTGTTTATTCTCGGTTTTGGTTATTGTCTCATCACAAGCCAGTAGCAAACATTTTGAGGACTGCACCAGGACTTGGGTCATACTTTACTGGCGCTGTAGAAGTGGCTCCCACACAGGCTGCACGTTACAAACATGGGGAAGAAGTCCCCTGATGTTCTGATTGCTGGGGATCAGGGGTGAGAGTTGGTCTTGTACTTTGTAAAAGCTTCCTATGCTTTTCTAATGTGCCGCCAAAGTTGAGAAACACTGGTCTAGAATAAAATACTTTACTAATTTTTTTTGGTTTTCATTGCCCATAATTTTTCTGAAATTCCTTCCCAGATGTATAGAGTAAACCTATGAAAATCTATACACTCCCAGAACAACTGAATCAAAATCTTCATTTTTAACATCCCTGGTTACAAAGGTTGTGGATAAAGTTGGAGACGCACTGCTTAGGATCAGTGTTCTCCTGAGGGACTCCAAGTGATTTGCAGACATTGATGCCACATATTGCTCTAGTGTTGGGAGGTGGTTAGTGTCCATGCTTTGAGGCAAACTTAGGCTCCCAAAGACTTGGGGGGTAGGGATAGGAGGAGAGACATTCGTTTTTCATTCTTATCTGTTGCCTTTTGTAACTCTTGGCCTTTGTGTGCTTTGCCCCAAAGGAGGGAATCCAGACGAATGCAGCTACAGCCATGTGTGTCTTGAATCCCTGGTTCTTCTTCCTGTTCAGTGCCTCCTCACCCGTTTTGGAGTATCAGTGTGGTGGCAGCAGTGGTAGCTCAGCCATGCATTCATCATTCTCTCCAAGCACTTCTGCTTCGATACATCCATCCATTCAATATTATACAATATGTTCCATGATGGAGTTACTGTGCTGGGAATATTGAGTAAAAGAATATATATAGTCTTTGCCCTTGAGGACCTTACAGTCTATTGGTAGACCCAGACAGGTAGGCAAATACATAGTATGCAATAAGTAATATGAGAGGATTATATCCTCGATTTTATGGGGACACAGCCTAGTTTGGACAGGCATGGATGTTCTTTGAAAAATCTAACAGACTCAAAGGATGAATAAGAACATAATTATCTATTCTCATATTGTGATGCAGGAAAGGAAGTGTTAGTTGGATGGTGAAAGGCAGATAAATTAGCAAAAGCATAGAGGTAAAGAGAGAATATGATAGCTTACGGGAAGTGCAAGTTTTTGAGAACCAAGATGATGGGAAATACAGTTTTGGTGTCAGCCTACATGTATGTACAGTATATGGATATATGCTCCGATCCTGTGCTAAGCTCTTTCCGCTGATTATCTCTCTCAATTTTCACAGCAATACTATGGGGAGGATACAATTTTAACTCCATTTTGTGGTTGAGGAAACAAAAGTTTAGAAAATGAAGCAACTTGTAGTGGTAACATAAACAAAAATTGGAGGAGTTGGATCTGGAATACATAGCTGTAAGACCCTACAGTTCATGTACTGAAATTTTTTTATTTTTTATTCCCCATAGGATATTTTATTTTCTATGGTCCTTTGACAGTTTTTATGGGACTTTTTAAGAAATGTCTTAACAGGATAAGTTTTTTAAAGTAATACAAACGTGTATCAAGTGCAAATGTTTACAGACCAACAATACTTGACAGTACTCAATAGTAACAGTGGAAACTAAACCTTTAGACTTAAAAAAAAAAAAAGCAAACACTCTTGGTCATAAAATTAAGTTTGACTCTATTTTCTGATTGCATGATACTGCTTCTTCAGCTGTATTTTTTTACACAGTAACTAATTTTATGTATTTTCTTGGAAACCAGAAAATAATTTTTGTCTTACAGGTTAATGTGAAGATTAGAGAAAATGATTAATTCTTGTTATAGAAAATGTACTCTATGAATGATAGCCACTGCCATTAATACTGTTGCTGATACTTTGCTGTGATAGGTGTGTGGGGTGCATGTAGGAGGTAATACACCAGCTGTTTCCAAGAATCAGATAAAAATACTGTTGACTAACATGATTCTGGCAATGGGACAAGTATATCTGAGTATTTTATTTTTTCTTGGTGTTTCAATTTCTTTATATTATAGATTCAATCAATTAATAATTGTTCATTGAGAACTGATGACGTGCCTCAAGCATGAAGTTGGTGATATTGTTTCTGTCCCTAATGACCTTACCACTCGACCGAGTAGAACAACATCAAACTGAAACATAGCACAACGATTTATGATCAATGTTCTGGAATAAAGTGAGAAATACTTTTTTTTTCAGTATCATAGATTAATGGTTTGTGGTAAAATATTTTTTAAACATAAAAATAGAATGGTTTGAAAATATTTTACTCTATGAGATCCAAGTCTTGTCGAACCACACTCCCACCCCAAATGGCAGCTGGAATTACTCAAACTCTTGTTAGAAAAGTCAACACTTGTTATATCCTTTCTATGCTTGACAGCTTTAAAACACTGCTTGAAATATATCCTGACTCTTACATATTCATTTGATCTAAGAACAATGATTTCTTTCTTTCTCCTGGTTTGAACTTACTAATCAAAACACAAATTACTTGAAACGAGAGAAAAATGTCAAGAAAATTAAAGGGGAGTTTTAGCTTATCTACCCCAGGTAAAGCCACTTGTTAACTCAGGCTTAGTCCTCACTTCTACCTGTTATAGAATTCAGAATGAGCCATGAAGAGTATATAAGAGAGAAAAAAACTTTGACCAAACCAAGTCCCCTAGAAAAGGGAGAGTGGATTGGGAGTTAGAGCTGGTCTAAAGCACTGACTTGGCCATTAATAGCCATATGACCACGGACATATCACACATGAAAGAGCCCTTCCCACACTCAGAACTGGAATCTGTGAGGATGATAGAAGTTGGTTTTAAGGAACACGACAGACTCAACATTATGAAACTTTAGGGACCCAGTACAAATTTCTGGTGGCCTACCAGCTATATATCGCTGATATTTTTCCTCTTTTTTTTCTGGATATGTCTGAGGTTTCACATCTTAGACCAGTTACGAAGTGTGAGGGGAAAACAAGAAACAGAAATTCTAGCTTTAATAGAAGTCAATGCACACATGATCTTTATATAGGTAAACAATGCTTTTTTAAAAATTTTAGCTGGATTAATTTCATTGTTACCAGTAGGAAATTAAACACATACATGAGTTGGTTATTTGAGGTACTCTAAAGGTGGAGATCCTGGCTTGTCATCCTAAATGGAGAAATGGAGGTAGCTGGTTAAATTTCCCAAGTATCTATACTTAGTTGGAGTGGATAAGAGTCTTAAAATCTAAAGTTATGGAATGATCCTTGGGAGGCTTTTGAAGGGGTTATTGCAATTCTCAATCTTACATGTGTTGCCAATAGTGAAAGCCATTTTAATTACTCTCAGACAACAGACAGTGTGCAACAGAAAAAGTTCCCTCAAAAGCTGTCCTGGAGGAATGGAAAACTTCCATAGGTGCTCCCTCTCTTTGCAGCATGGAAAAGGACCCTGAGGATCTTCCCCCACCAGGTTTTATATCCAGGGGTTGTATATTTCACTCTACAGAGTGCAATGCAAGTTTTCCCACCTGATTATCCAAAGAGGGTGTAGTCAGACATGGGGGTACTAGCCCAGAATTATTAGCCCAGAATTGGACTTCTTTAGCCCTGCTTCTTATTTAGACAAACCATTGGGATTCGGGGGGAGGTGACCTGGGTTGTTTGGAAGCCCAAAGATGCTAGCTAGGGGAAAGGAATAGGGAGTAATTACAGCCATTTGGGGCATCTGAAGGACCGCCTCCTCTGAGGCAGAGAGCTGTGACAGTATGGAGAATGGATGGGTAGTAGGCAAACTTCAAGCTGAGAGACCAATAGGAAGAATGCTACCTATTCCAGGATTCTTCTTTCAGTCTAACCACACATGGAATAAAATAAAAGCTTTTACTGCACGTCGTGTATTTGTGTATTTACCAGCTATTTTTCCAGATCTAGAGGTAGAACTGGAAGCAGGACCATTTCGTGCTAAAAGAGTGGGCCTTTGTTAAAGAGACAGACTCTCAGAATATGAATAAAGCACAAACAAA